GTAATTATGTGGACCTAATATTTCATCTTGCAGTTCCAAAACCAATAAACAACAGCTTGTGTGGGAGGAATTACAGTCTCTGGAAATGGCAGCTTCCCCCACTCTTTAAAGTTTAGATTTAGTTTCAATGTGTGCCAAGATGTTTTACAAGAACCAGTGATTCTTCCAGTCTTCCTAAGGGGAGGAGTGGAGGAACCTCACTCATGTTAGATCAGTTTTATTTCTGACTGGATTTTTGGATGATGGTTTTATCTTAGCTTGGAAAATTTTAACTCTGGCATACCTAGGTGTGAGTTAGTTTGTGTGAGTCTAGTAAGTTAGATACACACTCTTCTGGTCAGGTAAGCCCAGAACCGAAAAACATCTCTCAGGTGTCGGCTTCATGATCAAAAACTCCATTGTCCCTAAACTCGAAAATCTGCCGACAGGTCACTCTGACCGCATTATCTCCCTACGCCTTCCACTAAACAACAAGCAACACGTTGTCATCTTCAGTATATATGCCCCAACTCTCCAAGCTGACCCTGCTGAAAAAGATAAATTTTACACTGACCTGCGCTGTCTTACCCAAAAGGTGCCCGCAGATGATAAGATCATTATCCTTGGTGATTTCAACGCCAGAGTAGGTAAGAATTTTGAAGCCTGGAAAGGAGTATTAGGCAAGCATGGTGTTGGAAACTGCAACGATAATGGTCGACTTCTGCTAGAATTCTGTGCGGAGCAACAGTTCACCATCACCAATACTATCTTTCAGCAGAAAAATAGTCTGAAGACAACCTGGATGCACCCCAGGTCTAAGCACTGGCACCTCATTGATTATGTCTTGGTGCGACAGAGAGATGTCCGCGATGTCCTCCATACCCGCGTGATGCCCAGCGCAGAATGTCAAACAGACCATCGGCTTGTGCGCTGTAAACTCAACCTTTATCTCAAATTCAAACCCAAGAGGGGCAGTATCCCAAGGAGAAGACTCCAAGTTAACGATCTCCAATCAGCCACAGTAAGAGAAAGATTCCAGGCAAACCTTCAAACTAAGCTTGATAACCATTCCACAGATTCTGCAGTTTCCTCTCCCGAAACAATTTGGCAGCATATTAAAAGTAGCATCCTGCAATCCTCTGAAGAATCCTTAGGGTTCTCCCTCAAGAAGAACAAGGACTGGTTTGATGAAAATAATCAAGAAATCCAGGAATTGTTGAGGAAGAAGAGAACCGCCCACCAAGCACATCTTGCACTGCCTTCCTGTCACGCTAGAAAAACAGCCTTTCGTCTTGCTTGCAGCAAGCTCCAACAGAAACTCCGTGACATCCAGAACAAATGGTGGACCGATCTAGCTGCAAAAACTCAACTATGTGCAGATACAGGGGATCACAAAGGATTCTATGAGGCCCTGAAAACAGCATACGGGCCTACATACCAAGTCCAAAGCCCACTACTCAGTGCAGATGGTCAAACGCTTCTGACAGATCAAACCTCCATTCTGAATAGATGGTCTGAACACTTTCAGACTCTTTTCAGTACCAACCGTGTAGTACAAGACTCAGCAATTCAGTCCATCACACAACAACCAGTGAAATACGAATTGGATACTGCCCCCACTCTAGGAGAAACCCTCAAGGCCATACAGCAGGTGAAAATCGGCAAGGCAGCTGGGGTTGATGGAATTCCACCTGAAGTCTGGAAACATGGGGGCCTTGCACTCCATGCTAAATTTCATGAGCTTGTGGTGCGCTGTTGGGAACTAGGCGAACTACCTTCAGACCTTCGTGATGCAGTCATCATCACCTTGTATAAGAAGAAAGGTACTAAATCAGACTGTTCAAATTACCGTGGTATTACTCTGCTCTCCATTGCTGGCAAAATCTTGGCAAGAATACTCCTGAACAGACTAATACCCGCTATAGCAGAAGAAATTCTACCTGAAAGTCAGTGTGGCTTCAGAGCCAACAGGAGCACCACAGACATGATATTTGTTCTCAGACAACTGCAAGAGAAGTGTAGGGAACAGAACAAAGGTCTCTATGTAACCTTTGTCGACCTCACCAAGGCTTTTGATACTGTGAGCAGAAAAGGTCTTTGGCAGATTTTGGAACGTTTAGGTTGTCCCCCCAAGTTCCTTAAAATGATCATCTCACTTCATGAGGATCAGCACGGCCAAGTCAGATATGGCAACACACTTTCTGAGCCCTTTCTAATAAAGAATGGTGTGAAACAAGGCTGCGTTCTCGCTCCTACCCTATTCACAGTCTTTTTCAGTATGATGCTTCAAAGGGCCTCGGCAGACCTCGATGATCAGGACGGTATCTACATTCGATATCGTACTGATGGAAGCCTATTCAACCTAAGGCGACTGAAGGCCCATACTAAGACCCTAAACCATCTTGTCCGGGAGCTGCTCTATGCTGATGACGCCGCCCTTGTTGCCCACACAGAAGCAGCTCTGCAGCGTTTAACATCCTGCTTTGCAGAGGCTGCTGAGCTCTTTGGGCTGGAAGTCAGCTTAAAGAAGACAGAAGTTCTCCATCAGCCTGCACCTCAGGAAGTCCCCCACCGTCCCCACATCACCATCGGCCAGTCAGAACTCAATTCAGTCCAACAGTTTAATTACCTAGGCAGCCTCATCTCCTCAGATGGTAAGATTGATGGGGAGATAGACAATAGGTTAGCGAAGGCATATAGTGCTTTTGGAAAACTCCATAAACGAGTTTGGCGTAATAAACACTTGAAGAAAAGCACCAAGATCAGTGTTTACAGAGCCATAGTGCTGTCTACTCTTTTATATGGTTCCGAATCATGGGTCATCTACCGCCACCACCTGCGTCTCCTAGAACGCTTCCATCAACGCTGCCTCCGTACAATCCTTAACATCCATTGGTCAGACTATGTGACCAATACATCTGTTCTCGAACAGGCAGCAATCACAAGTATTGAGGCCATGCTCCTGAGAACGCAACTGCGTTGGGCAGGGCACATCTCTAGGATGAAGGACCACCGCCTCCCTAAGATCCTGCTCTATGGTGAACTTGCTACTGGCTGCCGCAAGAGAGGAGCTCCAAAGAAAAGATACAAGGACTCCCTGAAGCAACAACTCAGCCTCGGGCATATTGATCACCATAACTGGTCCACTCTGGCCTCTAATCGGGAGGCCTGGAGACAGACCATTTATAACGCTGCTGATGCTTTTGAGAAGGCACGCAGGATCACTCTTGAGGAGAAAAGACAACGCAGAAAGAATCGAACCTTGCAGAATATACCATCTAAGGAGTCTTTCTGCTGTGTCTTTTGCAACCGGACTTGCCTTTCTCGTATTGGCCTTTTTAGCCACCAACGCGCTTGCATGAAAAATGGGTAGAGCCCTTCCCAAATCTTCGTTCGCGAAGCCTAGCCATGAGTAAGTTAGAAAACTCAGTAAATTATTCTTTAATTACATAGAGTATTTTGAGAGAACGTTTCCTGAGCTCACAGACAACACCACTGCACTTGGTAAATTATATTATACGTTTATTTAAATGAGCTGTTACCCTAGTAGGGCAGTATCTATTGTTATTTTGAGTCATTAGTGAACCACAATCAGAACCCTCACAGTCTAATTAATTTATCAGAAGCCATTAAAAACAAAAAAAAAGCCATGAGCATGTTTAACTATTCATCACAGCAGTCCATCACAGTTACAGTGAGGTATTTAAAAATAAGAACTATATAGTATCACAGAGAGGTTTGGGTTGCAAAGGACCTTAAAGATCCTCTAGTTCCAACTCCTCGCCATGGGCAGGGATACCACCCACTAGACCGGGTTGCTCAAGGCCCCATCCAGCCTGGCCTTGAACACTTTCAGGGATGGAGCATCCCAGCTTCTCTGATCAACCTGTTGCAGTGACTCAACACCTCTGAATATGTAACTCTCCCCTAACATCTCATCTAAACCTCTCTTCTTTTAGTTTAAAACTATATGCCCTTGTCCTATCACTATCTACCCGTATAAAAAGTCCCTCTCCCTCTTTTTTATGAGCCTTCTTAAGTATCACACAATCACAGAATTGTTAGGGTTGGAAAGGACCTCTGGAGATCATCTAGTTCAATGCCCCTGCCAAGGCAGGGTCACCTAGAGCAGGTGACACAGGAATGTGTCCAGGTGAGGTTTGAATGTCTCCAGAGAGGGAGACTTCATGATGTCCCTGGGCAGCCTGTTCCAGTGTTCTGCCACCTTCAATGTAAAGAAGTTCTTCAGGTGGAACTTCTTATGTTTTAGTTTATGGCCATTGCTCCTCGTACTGTTGCTGGGCACCACTGAAAAGAGTCTGGCACCACCCTCTTGGCACCCACCTTTGAGATATTTATATGCATTAATGAGACCTCCTTTCTGTCTTCTCTCCTTTAGACTAAGCAGGCCCAGCTCCCGCAATCTGTCCCCATAAGAGAGATGCTCCCAAGTACTGGAAGGCCACAATAAGGGCTCCCCAGAGCCTTCTCCTCTCCAAGCTGAACAATCTCAGCTCTCTCAGCCTGTCTTCAGAGGAGAGGTGCTACAGCCCACTGATCACTGGGCTTGCATCACTGGGAAATTACCTGTAAGTCTCATTTGTAAGATCGGGCTAGATTTAAAACGGTACTTCTAGCTTGCGGGTTTTCCACGCAGGGAGAAATAGATGGCAGGAAGCTCTCTTAGTTACAGGGGCACCTCTTGTAAAGTCGGGGCCTCCTAAACTCTTTTGGAGGGTGCCCGCCGAGGCAAGAACAGCCGCCCGGCAGGAGCCGCGGCGGGCCGGGCCTCCTCGGCAGGTCGCGGCTCCTCCCCGGCGCTCTGAGTCACGGCCCGTCCCCGCTTGCACAAAGTCTGCGGCCGGTGCCGAGCGGGGGCCGCCCGCTGTGAGGGCGCGGGGGGGCGCGGGGCAGGATGCCCGCCCTGAGGGGACGGAGCCTCCGGGGCGGGCGGGCGTGAGGGCGCTCCCGCCCGAGGGATTAACGGCGGCCTCGCTGTCCCGTAGCGGACGGCGATTTACCTGGGTGGCCGCCTCCCTCCTTCCCTCCGTCCTTCCTTCCTTCCCTCCTTCCCGGAGCCGGTCGTTTCGGCGGAGAGGGAGTGGAGCCCGCCTCGCCCCTCCCCGGGGAAACTTTCCGTAGCCGCCGCCCGCGCCAGGTAGGGGCAGGTCCCCGCGGGGCGGGAGCCGTGAGGGGGCGGTGGCAGAGGGGACGGGCCCCAGACCGAGTTTCGGAGGTGTCGCGCCACCGCTTGGCCTCGCCGGCGGGGCGGGGTGTCGGGCCGGTGTCCCCCGCAGCCGAGCAGCTGCCGTCTGCCTCAGGGCCGCCGCGGGCTGAGGGCAGTATATAGGTCACTGGAAGTAATGCCCGCCTAATCCCCTTTATCTTTTTGGCTCGGCTTTTCCGCTGCTGGTTTGTGGGGCGACCCTGGGCAGCGTTGGTCGCAAACTTCTGGGAGAGGACCCAGGCTTCGCGCAGGGCTGTGAGTGCCGAGGTGAGAGGGTGGGATGCGTGCTTTTATCTCCAAGGCGGCTTTTTCCTCACCAGTGTGACGCCTTACAGAATGCCAGGTATTCCTGCGTGGGTCTGTCACCCCCGTGACCCTCTGCCTGGGTGGTTCGGGCTGCTGATTTAACAGGGGTATAACATTGATTACTTCTTTCTCGTTGCGTCACTCACCAAAATCACCGAAGGCTGTTTTGATGTTTGCTTTGGATGCAAAAAATCCGAGGTCTCGGCAACTTCGGGGCCCTGGTAACTAGAGAACGCAGTGTACCCGCGTAAAGTGATGGCTGTGTTGCTTTCTCTGATCTTTGAGGAACTATTAGCAAGGTCACGTGGACCTGTTCTGTCGCCCAGGGTTGTTGGTAGTAACTCGGCACGGTTTTGAGTTGCTCCATGTGGACAAATCCGTAGGTGCCGACAGGTGCCCGCTGCCTGCTCGGAAGCTGTGCCTGGGGCCAGCCTGCCAGTACAGGAGTTTGCCAGCTTGGGGCATATGGTTTCTTGTAACTGAGAAATGCTCAGGCACACTTGATAGTCTTTGGAGATTTTTGTTTCAGTCTGATTTTCTCCTCTTCCCTGGGGTGTATGGTTGGTTTTCTGGTTAACATTAACACAACTCATACAAAGATGATAAGAAGAAAAAAATGCATGAAAATTATTGTATTATTTTATATGCCACCTTACTACTTCTGATTGAATTGAAAGAGACTTCAGAATGTGCCAGTGCCCTCTCTCTCTGCCTAGATGTTTTCTGTTGATCAGTGTGAAACTCTGATGCTGTGCAAGGGTTTATAGTAGAATTTTCCTTCTGTACAACAGTTTTTATTCTTCCTCATCGCAGTAAGGATTCAGAGGCTCATCCTGTTAGTTGGGAAACATGATGGTTTTTATTTTGTTTTCATTTTCAGAGAAAAGAGGGAGTGATAATAAACTGTCCATTCAAAGACATCTCTCACACCCCAATAAGGTAGTAATGCTAGGTCTTGCAGTACAGACCTACGTTTCTGGTCTGTGCTGATTTTTGTTGTAATTTCCAGAAGTAAACTGTTTGGAGAAATTGTTGTTTGGAAGGGAGTATTAGGGTTTTCACATTATTTGTGCTGCCTTACTTCTGGGCTGTGTATAAGAGTCCGCCTGACCTGAAACTAATCTAAGAATTAGGACCTAATGCTGTAATTCGTTTCTTCCTCTCTGGCTCTGCTTTAATGAACGTGGAAAGTCAAAGGGAGAAGGGAAAGACAGAAAAGCTTACAATCTACTTTGTAAAGTATAAACAGTTGCAAAGGGCAAGATTGTACCAGTGAGATACTGGTGTGACGACCGCAGTTGTCCACAGTTGTAAAGCTCATGGAATATCCACATGCCTTTTTCTCTTAGCTGTCTCAATCAAGACAAATGTTTACAATTGACTTCTGCTAACAGCTGCTTTAGTCTTATTGTTGACCCATGGTGATTGACTACATGTGCTTTGAAAAAGAAGTGAATCCCATTAGAATGATGAAAAATGTGTGGCCAAAGCCCATGGAAAAAACTTAACTTTCGTACTCTTTTTTTTTTTAACTGTGTCTAATTATATGGTGGTGATGGTAAAAATTGAATTGTGTTCTATAAGGGTTGTTTTGGGTTGGGTTTTTTGTTTTATTTTTTTCACCTAAATAGTATACATAGAATCTGAAACCAAGAGAACCAAAATTGGAGAAACTGCTGCTCATGTGGTCTTATTTGATCCTTACATGAAACTGTTTTAGAAATTATTATAGATATATTTTCTCTTCAAAAGATTATGCTAATGCATTGATACCTGTTAAGCTTAAAAATTCAGATTTACAGTCTCAGTGCTATCTGAAGCATCAGTTTCTCTGTTAAACTGTTCATTGAAGAGTTATCAAGATTACTTTGATATACATAATTTTAAGAGGGTTTTTTAAAAAGAATTTACAAATGCTGCTGTTCCTCCTTTGCACATCTTTATTTATTAGTATACAGATGCTTCTTTTTGATGCTTGCAGAAGGTTTCATTGCAAAGCATTTTCAAATTTTAATTAGTCTCATGGAAGTCTCGTTTAGTTCTTTAATGTTTGAGTTGCATACTTCTTAAAAATGCAGGTTTCCACATCCTGATCTAATGTTATTGTGACTACTAGTTTCCCTCAAACATGAGAGAGACATTTTCTCTCTCTCTCTCTCTCTCTCTCTCTCTCTTTCTGTTCTCTGGGGCATATTTAGTGTCATTGGTATGTTTGCAGTGTTTATGTGCTGCTGAGAGCAAAGCTTTTGTGACCTCTTACTCCAGTCATCATTTTTGGTAACAGTTTCATAACTATATTTTGGGCTACAGACACTTAAACTGCAAGTCTCTTCTCAAACATGCTGACTTGGCATTGTTACCTTACTTGTGGTCTCTTCTCAGCCTAATGGGATAGGTCAGTCTTACACTAAATAACTGCAACCCCCCAAAAAAGAAAAAAAAATCATATACTCTATCCTTATTAGAATAAGCCCCCAGGAAAGAGGGCATCAAGGAAGGCTGTTGGCACATAGTGCTTTTTGTCCTGCTTTTGGGTGTGTTTCAGGTAATGTAGTACACAACAGCAGATGCCTATATTTTAGGTATGTTATGTGGTTTAGCATACTTTAGGTATGCTGTGATAGTCTTGAGTAAAGGCAAGCAACCTTGGGGTGCTTCCAGAAAAGCCTACAAAGGCCTGCACTGGTCGAAAGTTGGGGCACGAATGACCTGGAGATTCTGACATTTTTTTCAGTCCTTTTTGCAATCCTGGCTGTTCAGTAAGAATTTCTGTACCTTTAAAAACTCACACAAACAGCTTCCAAGAAGCAGTGCCTTTTCCTGATGTGATTAATTTATTTGGAAAGTAGAGGTAGAACTTCACTGTGTCACAGGTAGCAGGTCAGTTAGACCTGGATCAAGTTGGTGAGGCTGCACCTCAAGAACTGTGTCCGGTTCTGGGACTCTCACTACAAGAAAGACATTGAGGTGCTGGAGCGAGTCCAGAGATGGGCAACAAAGCTGGTGAAGGGTGAGTGTAAGTCCTATGAGGACTACAGGGAGCTCCTAAGGGAGCTGGGATTGTTTAGCCTTGAGAAGAGCAGGCTCAGGGGTGACCTTATTGCTTTCTACAACTACCTCAAAGGAGGTTGTAGCCAGATGCAGATCAGCTTCTTCTCCCAACTAGTGACAGGACAAGAGGACATAGCCTTAAGCTCCAAGGGGAGGTTCAGGTTGGGCATCAGGAAGAATTTCTTAACTGCAAGGGTGATTAAACATTGGAATGGACTGCCCAGGGAGGTGGTGGAATGTTCAAGAAACAACTGGATGTGGCACATAGTGCTCTAGTGTAATATATGTATACACACACCAGTACATTTTAAAGTGCCAGCTTAACTGTGGAAGTGCTGTGATGATAGCAAAGCATTCACCAGTTAAAGTTATTGTTATGAAGACTGAGGAGCTTTTGCAAACATATCTTGCCTTACTTTCTCTCTTAGTCATTGACTGTGAGACTTCCTCTGATTTTGGATAGGTATCTTTCAGTCAATGACTGAAATAGTAAGGTGAGAATGCTTTCTATGTTAACCCACGTGGCCAAAAACTTCTTGTCAAAGGTGATCCTGAGGGGCATGTCCAGGTGAAGCAATTCTACATGGAACGGAAACAGAACAGGTAAGGTAAGAGCTGGTGACAGTTGTGATAAAAGCTCAAGGCACGTGAAGACACTATCTAAGAATGTGTTACCTCTGATATTTGGTGGGATTGCTTTTAAAGAGGAGAGTTTGGAAACATGACACAAGTACAGCTATCAGCAAGCAGGAGGCCCAAGATGTACTTGGGTCTTTGACTTGTGTTACCCCTGAACTAAATGTAGCACCTTTTCCTAGCAGTTGGAAAATTTGCCCTGAAATTTAGTCTATTCCAAGCTGTACTGGCTTCCCATGGGTAGCGTTATTGGGAAATCAATTACTTCTTTTTCTTTTTTTTTTCTGTAAAAAAAAGAGGTCAAATTATGATGTAATACTGAATTGCCTACGCATACAGTAATGTTAGACCATGACAGCTAATTCTGGTCTAATCATGATTAGCATGGTAGTGGACATGTTATCTGCTTTTGTGTGGGGACATATATAGCTAGATTAGTGCTGAAAGTATTAGGCAAATTCTCACTATGTAGTTTTTGCCATTTAACTGTAGAAGCATAGTCAAATGTTGTCTTCTCCCCTTGTACCTGTACCGTAGTCTCCAAACAGTATGACAGACAGTTTTGTTTATTCAAACATTTGCATGCCTTAGAAGAACTTGTCCATTTTGTTTTAAAAAAAACCAAACAGAAAAGCTGTGTGATACTAAAAACATGTGCTAGATTCTTTGCATTAATAACTGTTACTGAAAGACAATTGTGCCCATTATCCTTCTAATTCTAGATAGTTTTTACAAGTTGCCTGTACTGTATATTGGTGGGGGGCAGGATTTATATCTGTGAAAATTTTTATATAAAAAAACTTTTCTAGCAATAGTTTAGTTTGCCTGAGGAACTGATCAAGTGATGGATGCCAGTGAAAGAGCTCACAGTTAGAAGGATTTCCTAATGAATGTGAAAAAAATTAAACTTTCAAAATATTGGCAAG